CCCTAACTCCCCCACACTCCGCAACACCCAGCAACACACTAACACTGATACAAACACAGTGTCTCTCTCTCTCACACACACACACAGAGCAGGGCTCAGCCCGTCCAGCAGGGGGCGACAGGGACACACACATCTCCCTAGGGCCAGCTTGGATGATGATGATGAGGGGAGTGGGATCTAGTGGTCAGAGTGGGGTGGGAGCTGGGCACTAGGACCGCTGGGTACTATCCCTGGCTCTGGGAGCAGAGGGGGGCTAGAGGTTAGAGCAGGGGGACTGGGAGCCAGGACTCCTGGGTTCCATAGTGGCAGGTGTTTTTTCTTGTGTCTCCCTCCTTAGAGATCCCAGCCCAGCCCCCTAGAGGAATCTGAGCAGGGTTGTGGGGTCGGGGGGAGGTTGCCCTGCCACTTCAGAGTCATGATTCGATCCCCCCCGCCTTGCCCCGGGCTCTAACATCACAGAAACTCCCCCCCTGACACACACCCCCAAGTCAGAAAGTAGGAGCCCCTCCCCACATGACGAGGAAGCTAGTGGGTTTTGTGTGGGTCTCTGGCAGAGGTGACAGCACCCACCAGACACCCTCTCCTGGCTGCAAGGAGACCCCCCTGCACAGCCCCCTGCTACGAGGGGCCCATGGCCACCCAGCCAGGGCCAGGAGGTGAGATGGGGTCGCAGTAGGAGAAATGGGGAAGAACTGGGAGCTGGCGCTAGGTCGGGGGCTGGCTACACGGGAAAAAAAACACGCTGCTCTCTCTGTTCCAAGGTTATCAGGTTTTGGGAATGACTTGAGGGAAATATTTTGTTTCCAAACAGACTCCATATACCAAACGATGGTGCTAATACGCTCCCCCTGCGCCCCTCCCCCATCACCCCAGTATCTGAGCATCTTCGTAATCCGCAGGGTAGTTCCCCTCCCAGGCTCGGGCGAGAGTGGGAAGCGCCGCCAGCCCCATGTCCCGGCCGGGAGAACTGAGGCCCAGAGAGACTGAGTGATGTGCCTGAGGGCACCCGGGAACGGGAGGCTGGGCCCGGATTCTTTTTCTGCCCTCCCGCCTCCCCGGTCCTGCCTGCGCCTGGGTCGCTGGGCGGTGCAGGGGCGGGCCCTAGAGGGGAGGGGCAATGCGGGAGCAGGGATTGGGGGAAGGGGCGAATGAGGGCGGGGGATTGGGGAAAAGGGGCGGGGTGGGGATGGGGCCTTGGATGAATGGGTGGGTTTTAGGGGGAGGGGCAACGTGGGAGCGGGGATTCGGGGAAGGCGTGAGGGCGGGGACGAGGAGGGAAG